ACTGATGAAGTCCTTTGGATGAAGGACGAAACGTCTCAACAAAAAAAGAAAAAAGAAAAGGACCTGACTGAACTTTGGATTTTTTTTTTATTATTGAGCATGAACTTTGATGTTTTGAACCACTTTGGCTCTGACTGCCTCAGAAACCATCTTATCACCATGGAACTGGTTGATCCACTATGTGAGTGTGCTTCTTGTGGGACTGAGTTTGTTGTGGCTCCTCGGACTGATGAAGTCCTTTGGATGAAGGACGAAACGTCTCAACAAAAAAAAGAAAAGGACCTGACTGAACTTTGGATTTTTTTTATTATTGAGCATGAACTTTGATGTTTTGAACCACTTTGGCTCTGACTGCCTCAGAAACCATCTTATCACCATGGAACTAGTTGATCCACTATGCGAGTGTGCTTCTTATGGGACTGACTTTGTTGTGGCTCCTCGGACTGATGAAGTCCTTTGGATGAAGGTCGAAACATTTCCACAAAAAAAAGAAACCATCCAGAGGACCTGACTTAACTTTGTTGGATTTAATACGTGGATTATTGAGCATGAACTTTGACGGATGAACTAAAGTTTTACCAAATTAAGTTTGTATCTACGTTTGTGCTAATTTTATCGTTTGTTCTGCTTGTTTACGTTTGACAGCGCAGGTTTAGTGTCTTTATTAAATTACATTCCTCTAGTTATTTTGTCGTTTAAACCAGATCTGATAAACTTTGTTTCGTCGTAATAATTTGTTTTCTTTGTGTTAGTCCATCCCGGCAGCGCAGACCCTCATTTTGAAGTCACCCTGGTGAATTCGACTCAGTGGGACAACTACGGTAGACCGAACGCAGCAGGGCGGCTTCACATGACGTGGATCAGATCTTTCATCCCGGCTGAAAAGGTCAACGTGGAGCTGTGGGGTTACAGAGAGGTCAGCAGGTCAGAGGCAGGGACGTCCGTTCTGCGGGCCGAGCTGAGCTTTCTTTACTCTCTGGGCAGGAACCTTAACAACTCGGGTGTCTTCAGCTTCACCCCTGAGCCCAAAGAAAACGTTTCAGAGTGGGAGCTGGGGAATATTCGCATCACGGCTGGTTCGAGATCAGAGGGAGAACGGTAACCATTAAACAGCTCATGAGTCTGAATATGTACATGTTGGGAAAGCTGCACACTTCATGCAATAATTCAAAATTCACTACCGTTTGTAAAACTATGGAGAAACATGTTATAACTTTATAGAAAATTGTTTTTGTTAATTAAGATTATCATTAGTAAAAGCTTTTAAAATACTTTTATCTAGTTTTTTACACGACTGAAAGTTTAATAATATGAAGAATCCTCTGTGGCTAAAACACTAAACCCAGTTTGACTAATTCTACCTTGTGTTTTTAATAACCAGCATAAAAATATTTAGTATCAGCTGTACTTTTATATTAATTTAAGAGCTTGAGGTTTGATTTATAGGCCAGACAGAAGGTATTTGGTCATGCACGGATGTGCTGCTTTTCTTAGTTTAGATTTAACATTTGCTCCGTTTCATCGGACAATAAGAGGTCCCGGTACTTCCAGGGTGGTGTTATCGTACATTTAGCTCACGATTGGTTATTAGGAAATAAAATCAAGTGATTGTGAGTTCTGAGCCATATTTTGACTTCTGTTTTTTGATCTGGAAATGAGCGCTTAAACTGAAACAGGTAATTGTTTATGCACAGGAATGTGCAGGGACTGTGGAGTAGAGGTCATATCTTGACGTGGCACCTGGAGGCGTTCAGAGACGACTCCTCAGCTTGGGCACGGAGCGGGTGTCTGCAGTGGGACGCTGCGGAGAAGAAGCGGACCGACTTCCTGGATGAGCTCGTTGACTGTCCGTGCACACTGGCTCAGGCCCAAGCAGACACAGGAAGGTTTCGTGTGAGTACACCCATCACAGTGGCAGTTATTATCTAATTATTCAGGTAAACTTTCTCAACTCGCATCTATTTTTTTAATTTCAGACTGATTCCACTTGTGACACTGAGAGTGGCAGCGCGTGCACTTTTCACCCTGACTGTGTGCACTTTGTCAGAGCAGTTCAGGCCAGGTAAGAGTGACCAGAGTACAGATTAAATATTTAAATAAAAATATCTATTTTTTTAGGATAATGCAAAAAAAAATAAAGCAGACAATGTTATTCTGAACTAAATCAAATGGTGCAGTTTATAAGAGTTTACTGCAGGAGTTTTCCAGACACACTGCAAGAAACAAAAAGTTAGAGTTACCTGATTTAGTTGTGTCAACTGGTACCACTAAACTTGGTTTAAATGTAAAAAATGCTATTAAAATATTTAACTTTTTCTTTAGGAAATAGCTCATGTAAGGCATTGGATTCAAAATATTTTAGAACCTCCCAAAAGCACACAGAGCAAAATAGTTTATTTGAATAAAAAATACAATTGAGTAAAAAAATTAGGGCTCCCTGGTTTAAAGCACCTTGGGACAGTCTTTATGTAGTAAAAGAGTAGTATTTTTTACACAAAGTGGTTGAATTGTATTTAAAAAGCAGTAATTTGTTGCTTTAACGTCTGATTTTATTGTTTTAATACAACAAAACCTGCTTATTGGGACTTTTATGAATTGACAGGAAGCTCTAGAATCAAGGTAAAATAGTTGTGTAATTCAAAGAAAGGTGCAGGTTGATGTTTAAGGCTGGAATGTGGGTCCACGCTCAAAATACACACAGCGTTCAACAAAGTCCACTTAAAACCGCGAGTGAGATCGAATCACGAGGTTCACCTGCATTAAGCTGAAGTTGGTTTGATGTAAAAATAAAAAAAAGTTATTTTCCAGCAAAAACACACCTAGTCTTTTTCAGTGTTTTTTGAAACATTGTAAGTTACTCAACAAACTTGAGCATGAATACGAACCAGTACGTCCAAATTGTTTAACTTCTCCATCAGACGGCTCCTCCGTTGACGTTTGCATCATTGAGTCGCTTTGGCTGTTTTTATGCACAGTAGTTGGCAGCCAGTTAGAAATTTACCTTAAAAATGTTTAATATAAGAAACATTAACCAGCGTTAGGTTGTAAAAAAATATATTTTTTCCTTTTTACTTCACAGTGAGTGCTTTTAACGTGACATTTGTTTAAATATTCCCAGTCCCAGCCAGGGATCAGGGCAGCAGTGCTGCTACGACAGCTTCGGCTCTTTGGTTCTGACCGGAGACTCCGTCGGTGGCAGCACCCCAGGCAGGGCTCATGACTGGGGGGCCCCTCCGTACAAGGATCCCCCTCGGATACCTGGCTATTCCCACTGGCTTTACGATGTCACAAGCTTCTTCCGCTGCTGCGTGTGGTCCGACCTTTGCCACGTTTACTTCAACCATCGACCTTCGAGTGGATGTCGCAAATACCAGCCGCCAAGAGCAGGTTTGGCTATTCTTTAATTATTTACGTTAAATAAGTTACTTTATTCTTTGTGTTTTACTGATCCTTTGTTGTTGTTCCTCTTCGCTTTGGCTTCATTTCCTATAAAACATGAACTCAATTTTCAGAAGAGGTAAATGAGTGACAGACTCCGGCTGGGAGCGACGACAATAACAAGAAGTTTAATTCTGGTATCGGAGAAACAGTTTGGAGCAGCTGTGGCTGAGTGGTTAGAGAGGGCGTCCTCCAATGGGAGAGTTGGGGGTTTGATTCCACCAGCAGTCACATGTTGACATGTCCCTGGGCAAGACACTGAACTGTTGTCTCTGATGTGTGTCCCATCAGTGTATGAATGTGATCTAAAACACCGATTAGTCTTTGTCGAGACGCAGTAAAGTGCTGTATGAATGTTGGAGGTAATGAGGGCACAGGTTGTGTTGTAAAGAGCTTCGAGCAGACGTGGACAACTGAAGGCCCAAGGGCCACTTGGACAATCTCCATCAGGCCCCCCAATATCCTTAGTAAAAAAACAAACAACTTTTTAAATAAAGATTGATCAAAAACAAAAGCAACAGTTTATTAACTAGAAATTTCCTGGAGAAACTTTGACGGGGACTGCCTATTTATTATTAAATTATTATTAATAATAAATATTTATATTAATGATTATTAATATTAATAATCAATACTAATTATTAATAATAATTATTGTTGATATATTTATAATTTATTAATTATTATACAATATTAATAATTAATAATCAATATTAATAATGTTCACACCAATAATTAGTATTAATATTAAATATTACTTATTAGTATTAATAATTATTTATATTAAAATAGATAATTATAACATTAATAATTTATAATTAATATTAATTATTATTATTACTCATTATTAATAATAATAGGTGATAATAGGTGCCTTCCTTGCATGTTGAACCAAAATGGCTCCGTATGTTACTCAGTTTCTGTGAAGAGTTTTCTCCTATTCATTTCCTATGGGAAATTTGGCATTTTTGTTAGCAAAATATGTCGCCATGGTAACTTGTGAATGCCAATAAAAGTAATTGCACACTTCCCGGAGCCGGGCCGGTCGTTTTGATATAACTTTTGTGGGGGTCCACGTTGCGGTTCGGGCCGCATTAAAGTTGAAAAAGATACGCTTTTTAGGTGTAGAATAATAAGTGGGCAGTCACCAACTAGTTCCTGGAGTTGGTGAAATATTGCGTCTATGTTCGCAAATTACGTCGCCATGGTAACTCGAAATGCCAATAAAAGTAATAGCACACATCACGGGGCTGAGCCGGTCGTTTTGCTATAACTTTTGTGGGGGTAGACGCTGTGGTTCGGGCCGCATTAACGGAGAAAGAAATGTAGACACTTTTCCGAGCTGTAGAATAATTGGTGCCTGCCATGCATTTGCGTGGCAGTCCCCAACGAGACTGAAGGACATTTAAATTAAACATCTTACGCAAAACTAAAAAACAAAACAAAAAACAAGTCTTGTTTCCAGAACTAGACTGAACCTTAAAGTCTTAGAAACATAAATATATAAGTTTGTTTTGCATATTTCTGCTAACATGTACAGTATAACATGTAAAGCTAACGTGTGTAATATATTGTCACAAGAGACAGTTTACAGAATACGTCTTATATTCCTGAAGGATTTTGGAAACACATGCTAACTGCTACAATAAGAAAAAGGTCTTCTAGATTATCTGTCATAAAGAAAATTTGTTTTCCAATGTTCTACGCCAGTGGTTCTCAAACTGGGGGTCTGCAAAAAATAAATTAATACTTTTTTTTTTTTTTTTTTACAAGCAAGTAGATGTTTAACAACCTGTTAAAATACACTAAAATGAAGGAAATCACATCTACTTTATTCAAAATTTTCTGGGGGCGGACCCCCAGGCCCCGCCCCGCCCCACCGCCCCGCCCACTATTTGTGTTCCAGCATTGATGAGTTTCCAGCATTGATGAGTTTATTAAATGAAGTCCTGTAACTTGGTCTGATCACTGCTGCTCTGATTCCGTTCAGTTTTATGTGAAGAGTTTTCTGTAATAATTTGAAGCAGTGGCGATACATTTATGATCATTATGTGAATAGTTAAAGTTTTAAAGTGGTTTTTGATTCTGTTAATTTGATCAAAACTGTAATTTTTGGAAGTTTGAAAAAAAAAAAAGAGTTAATAAAATGTGTCTTGAATGAAAAATACTCCACGTTTAAAAGCATAAAATTGCATTAACTCTATTAAAGAACAGGTCGTAAGTATTTATGTTGCATTAAAGAGACAAATTGAGGAAAATTATTTAATAAATATGAGGGTTATGAGGGGGTCCCTGAAACTTTTTCTCCCCTGAACCCAAGAAGTTTGAGAACCCCTGATTTAAAGCACTGATTAGTCTCTACAGATTCAGATTAGCTTTGCAGAGATGTAGTGGAGTGCTGTATGGATGTGTGTGTGGAGGTAAATGAGGCACAGGTTGTGTTGTAAAGAGCTTTGTCTTGATTAGACAGAAAGGTGCTGTATAAGATCAGCCCATTTACCATTTAAAACAAATCGATGCCAAACTGTGAATCAGGGTTTTGTTTCTCCATCACAGGTGTTGTCTTCGGGAACCTGCATTTTATAACACTCGATGGCCTCAGCTACACTTTCAACGGCAAAGGAGAGTATTACCTGGTGTCTTCAGCGGACAAAGAGCTGAGTGTTCAGGCCAGAACCGAACAGGTGAAACTTGAGAACGGTGAGTGGACATTTAACAAGAATGCACCGTTTGTATCTGCCTCTTCAGCCCCGTGTTCCCACTGCAGCCCTTTCATTGTTCCGGGGCTTACTCAGAACAGATGTTTATTTCTTACAGTATAATCCACATTGAAGAAAACTGTTAGTAAAATAGCACTTCTTTACTTTCTTCTTTTTTATATATCTTTGTGTCTTCTGGTGTCGATTAGAGTGAAGAATAGCAGATGTTAGATTTGTTTTTTTTTGTTTTCAAAAATTCTCCCACATTTTTTTCACAAAACTTTTGACTTTACATGACCAGATGTTATCAATGTGTTCTTCATTAGATCGGTGAAGTGAAACATCTGGACTATTAAAATTGTTCAGACCCAAACTGTAATTAAAACCAGCATAAAATAAGAGTGCATGCTAAACATAGCAGGAAAAAATAAGGAAATTAGTGATTGCTTAATTGATATTTTGTTGTAACAATGCTTCTTGGCAACACATTTTATACCCCTGTCTGTTTATTTCCTCTTAAATGGCCACGTTTGTAAAATACATGTAATTTGTTGGGTTGAGCAGCAAAGCAGAATAAACCGTACAAGAGTTGTCAGCTTTCAGCACAACTGTCAGCGTCTGGGACATCAGAATCTCAAAACAAGATGCAAGATGTTTGACATTAGCAGAGAAGATTTGGCAAGTTTTTCACGAGAACAGCTCATAAACAAACCAACGAAGACATTTTCCTTACAATGTGGCACCATTTAAGAAGAGATGAACAGGCTCTCGAGCAGAGGAAAGAAGAAACATGCTGCATCAAAGAAATATTTGGCCGTGCACAACTTTTTAAACTAAGTTTAAATGTTAACATAAGGTTTGTGTTTTTCAATAAGGCACCTTCGTTAAAGCCGCTCAGCTGTCATCGGTGGCGATGAAGGCGAACTCCTCTGACGTCATCGAGGTACGAGCTGCAGGCGAACACCTTCAGGTGCTGAGGAACCAAAAGGTTCTGCCTTTCACCGAGCAGAGGTGGATGGATCTGCACGGTGAGGGGCTTCACGTTGACTTTCAGGGTCTTTGTCGTGCACCTGACCAAAACCTGGGGAGGTATTTTCACATAAATCAGTAAGCTCAGGCAGTAATTCTTACAGGAAAATGCAGATATTTTAACTTCACCCAGTACTTTCTCATGCTGCTGTATTCATTCATACCCATCTGCTCACTACAGACTCATGTTCAGGCTGCTGTTTAATACACCATATTATTTTACATTATTAGTGTTTAGCGTTTATCTTAGTTTATATCTTAGATCCTTGCATACTGTTTCTTTTTATACTTTATATTGTTGCTATTTTTGGATGTAACTGGGACCCTGCGTGCACAATTTCATTCCACCTCATGTACCACATGTGGTGCGAATGACAATAAAGAACATTCACCTTCAAAGTCAAAAGTCAAAGTTTTTTTATTTGTCCTTCGCACCACATTTGGTACATGTGGTGGAACGAAGTTGTGCACACAGGGTCCCAGTTACTTCCAACAAAATATAAATTGTAAAAGAAAAACAGTAATAAGATCCAAGATATGAACTCAGAAATACGCTAAAACTAAGAATACACTAAGCACTAGTAGTACAAAACAATACGCTGAACAGCAGCACGAACATGAGCCTGTGTGAGCAGATGAGCACGAATAATCAGCAGCAACATGAAACATCAGCAGCAACATGTGATTTTCCACAGTGATTATTCTGGTTAGAGATTCATGAGTCTAACAGCCTCAGGGTAGAAGCTGTTCCTCAGTCTAGTGATTCTACACTTAATGCTCCTCAACCTCCTTCCTGAGGGGAGCGGGGCACAAAGTGTGTGTGCTGGGTGAGTGGGGTCCTTCATGATGCAGGTGGCCCTCTTCCTGCATCTGGAGGTGTAGATGTCTGTGACGGTGAGGAGACTGACTCCAACATCTTCTGTGCAGCCTCCATGCCACACGTTGATGCTGGAGCACAGGATGCTCTCCACTGCACACCTGTAGAAGGAGGTGAGGACTGAGCTTCCCAGAGCAGCTCGTCTCAGACGCCTGAGGAAGTAGAGTCTCTGATGAGCTTTCTTGATCAGGCTGGTGGTGTTGTTGCTCCAGCTGTGGTTGTCATTCATGTGTACACCCAAGTACTTGTAGCTGGAGACCACTTCCACTGCAGATCCTCCTATGTTCATGAGGGGTAGGTGTGTTTGTTCCTTCTGAAGTCCACCATCATCTCCTTTGAACTTGAACTTTTGGGACTGAGGCTGCAGCTTTGAACATTTCTGATTGGTTGATTTCTGTCAGCATCTTATTTCTGCCTCTTTTTATCCGTCATTTCATTTTAAGCAAACGTGAGAGCTAAGCAGTGGATCAAAGAAATAAAACACAACATTGTGAATATTTCACTTAACTTTATTCTTATTTAAAGTACAAGTAAAAACAGTTGTGTCTCTGCACATGTAGCTTAGATTGTTGTGGAAACACAGAAAGTCCAGCTCTGAAGAACTCACCAACTTCTTCTTGTGCCCACATTTCTCCTCAGTAACTGAACATTAACATGGAATATGACCAGGATCGTTGCTTTTGCTTCAAAATAAGTTTGTTTTTGGTGAAGCCGTTTAGTTTTACATGTTTCATTCTTACTGTCGCAGCATCAGTTCCGTTTGTGTCGTGATGCTTGTTGTTGTTATTTTACCGTATTTACATTGTTTAATTTTCTTTTTCTAACTAAACAAGTGTTTGGCACTAAACCCCAGTTTTCTTTGTCTCCAGGTGTATTTGTGTTCGCCCCCAGTCGTCAGAACGTGACGGTAATCTTTTCCTGTGGAGCTGCCGCGGAGCTTCGTCTGAATGAAGGAGCCATGACGGCGACGGTTCTGCTGCCGGCACAGTTTTCCAACCGAACTCAGGGTCTGCTCGGCTCCATGAACTCTGATCCTTCGGATGACCTGATGACCTCATTTCAAAAGGTCATATCCTCAGCTAACGCCACGCCCGAGGAAATCTTTACCTTCGGAGCTGGATGTGAGTGTGATGGACTAATTCATCATTTCAGCTTTTTAAAGAGTTTGTTTTAGTAGTTTAGAAAGCCAACAATTTGGTAGAAATTAAATTATTTTATAGTACCCTGCTTAAACTGAACAAAGCATGGAGTTTGACCAAAGCACCTTTCTACTCCCGCAAACTAAATACCGTACTTTTCTTTGTATAAGTCACAGTTTTTTGCATAATTTACATGCCCTGCGACTATAGGCCAAAACGACATATTTATGGATTTTTCCCTTATTTATAATCCATTTTTTGGCTGAGATATGACCGTTTCCATTCATTCTAACTGGAAAAAAAAAAAGTTAACAATACCACTTTCAGCCACTTGATGGCAGCAGAGTCGTAATAGTTTTATGGCATGCTGTTATATCATGTAATAGGTAAATGTGGCTAAAAGTTCAAGACAAAAACAACTGGACTTTATTTGTTATACTTTACTTCAGCTGATTTGACATTAAAGTGCATTTATTAAGCAAACGTTAGATTGACACACACTTTAATATGATTTCAAGCAAACAAATAATTGTTTTTAAATGTTAATGTTGTTAAATTCTTGTTAAAGTCGTCCCGTGCACGCTCCCGCCGCCATTTGTTGGCCCATGGGTTTTTGGCACAACACCGGTCCACATTTCCAGGTTGTCAGTGGTGACGTGTAACAAACGCGATGCGTCAGCAGTGACGCATAATAGATGCGACGTATACGGCGAAGCAACATATTCATGGACTTTTCCACTTTATTAGACAAATATGGACTGATGAGACTTATAGGGCGGTGCGACGCGTACGGCAGAAAGTACGGTCTAGTGATTCCCCTCAAAGATGGTCAGTAATGAACATGCGATGTTCCTTTTCCATCACAGTAACTGCAGTTAATAGTCCCATTTTGTGTGCATCATAATAAAATAAATAAATAACAGTACAGTGTGCAGGACAGATGAACATCTGTTCTATTTCATTCCATTTGTATAAAACCAGTGGTTTGGAGCCAAGCAGTATAAACATGCTGGTTTGAGGAACATTTATTTCAATTTGGTCCTTATTAAACCTCAACCCAACAACTTGTTTAAACACAATTATTTATTGTATAACCACTGACTCCTAATTGTTTGTATTGCAACAATATGTTTAACATTGACCTTTGAGTATTTGTCTGAAACCTGTAGTTTGTTTCAACCCCAAACAACTGAACAGATGTTTATTTCTGCCAACAGGGAGCATTTCAAAGACGTCTTCCCTCTTTACGTACGACTCTCCGAACCTTCTGGACTCGTACTTCGTTCCACCGAGCCATGACCCGGCTTTTGTTCCTGCCTTTTCTCTGCCTGAGAAACCCGACGACCCGCTGGTAGCAGACATGATGTCGGTGTGTTTGGGAGAAGGGGCTCAGTTCTGTAAACATGATACTCTTATCAGTGGGAGCCTTGCGGTGGGGAACGCCACACTCAGGGCCCACCGGAGTCATCGGGCTTTGATGGAGGCCCTGGAGCCAGGTACTGTCACAAGCTCACTGTCTGCCAACCCATTCACAGCTTTTCCTTTGTGCTCACTGAAACAGGGACATGTTCGTGTGGATTCTGTTTGTGTTAAGTCTCTGAGTCGCCTGTATGAGTGTAGGAGAAAGTGCAAGTTTCCTTTTTGTTGTTTGAATATCCATCCATCGCGGAGTCACAGTTGCCCAGACATCACTGTGCGAGAGGCAGGGGACACCCTGGACAGGTGTCCAGTCCATCACAGGGACACATGGAGACAAACAACAATTCACTCTCTCACCAGTCAGCCTAACATGCATGCTTGGTCTGTGAGAGGAAACTGGAGTACCTGCAGAAAACCCATGTGTGCACGGAGAGAACATGCAAACTACACCCAGAAAGGCCCTTGGCTGGGATTTGAACCGGCAGCCTTCTGGCTGAGCGGTGGCAGCTCTACTAACTGAGCCACCTGTTTGAATGTTGTTCACATTTTTTGCATTGAAAGATTTCAAACCTTTTATATTCTTACATTATGAAGCTCCTGATTGTCAGTAGTTAATGATTTTTGATCATGTTGTGGTTGTGCAGTGGTGTCATGTGGCTGGATCCCCTCACCCAGGAATGGGAAGAAGAACGGGACACGTTACCTGCAGGGGGACACCCTGAGCTTCAGCTGCAGTGAGGGCTACACGCTGTACGGCTCACCTGAGCGCACCTGTGTGCAGGACGGCTCCTGGACAGGAGAGCAGACTCACTGTATTACAGGTTGGCTGAAAACACGAGTAAAGCAACACAAATGATCAAGTATTGTTTAAAATACAGGCTGCTGTATAACATACATTAAAAACAATCATGCAACACGACGGTTTAACCTTTTGTTCCTGAGCTAACTCTAGAAATCAAACCCAGAAAACAAGTCTGTAAAACACATATATAATTTATTATTTATTAACTTTATTCAACCAGGCAAATCCCACTGAGATCACAGATCTCTTTTGCAAAGGAGGCCTGGGCCTGAAGGCAGCCTAACATGCATGTTTTTGGTCTAATAATGTGAAAAGTTTGTGGGAATTTGATCGAAGTTAGAAAATCTTTTAACAAGAATAAACTTCCAAACACCTCTTCTAGCAGTTCCTTCACTGCTTATCACAAATATCAGCAAAAAGAGCCGCAAACATGTCTCATGATGGCGTATTTTTAACATGTGGGTTATAAAATTAGTGTCTGGTACAAAGATCAAAAAACTACTTTTCAGCTAAAACAATGTTTCTTTTTTTTTTTGACATATGACATAATACTTTATTTTAATACTGTTTAAACACTTTTAACCTATTTTTTTTCCATCATTTGAAAGTTTGTCTTGTTTATAATATAAATTATGTTTCTATAAATAAGTTCAATATGACCTAAACTCCTTAGTGTTGCATTTTTTACATTTGTTGTAATAAAGGGTGAAAACTATACAGTAAAAATAAGACTATTATTTACTTTAAAACAATCAAATCCAACATAGACATTTGTTTCTTGCTAATGTTTTACATTTACTCCAGTATTTTCCTTGTTTTAACATGTCTGCCATCTCTGCTGTACATATAGTTAAGAATAAATTACATAAAATTCACCGGTTCCATCAGAAAAATAGATATTTATAAAACATGTAAAAAAAAAAGATTATTGTTAAACTCCCCAAACTCCTGAGTTTGTCTGACGTCTTCTTATGATTTAAAACTGATTCTTTTTACTCTAAAGGTTGGCATGAATGGAGGTCATAATGTATAGTTTTGCTCCAATCACAAAAAGCAGAGGATATAAATGAACACTACAACAATGTAACATTGAAACACATCTTAACTGATCTCTTATAAACTGTGTAATGTTCTGAAGCTAATTCAGAAATAATCCAGCTTATGGCAAACTGTACTTAAAAACCAGACTGCATTATTTAATTATTTCCTCCCTGCTGACTCTGTGTCAGATGTGAGGTGAGCATCGTTGTCTTTAAACATGGCGTCAGGAGGTGCAGCTAATGATTGACAGCAGGGGGAGGTTCATGCAACAGCTAAAGGAAGAGCTGCTGGTGGGTCTGAACTCAAAATATAAGCTCCTTCCATGTGATGATGAAACATTAAAAATGTATAAATATTACACAACCCTCCAGCCTCTTCATACCTCTTTTTGGGGTCCAGGTCTTAGTTAAGGTTAAGGAGGGGTGGGGGTCAAACCCTCCCTCTCTCTTTCCCCCTGTATTTCAAACTGTGGTGTATCCTGCACGTGAAATCGAGACAGGCTTGTTGAATCTTCTCTTTCAAAGCAAAGATGAAACAAACGGAGCTCTCGGTCGCTCATGCAGACATTTACAGCAAACCTATAAAAGGTTTCATTTGGATCGTCCTGACTTTGTGTTAGTGGATTGGAAACACCTGGACCTCTCAGAAGGACTGTAGTTGTGAGCTGTTGCCTGTAGGTGGCAGTGTTTCCCTCTGAATGCTTCATGCCATTGTAAAGTGCACCAGGTGGCTTTAAACAAGCCATGCATTTAGAAATATTTGAATAATAATTGTTTCAGTCAAGTTAGGATGCAGAAACAAAGCCGACTAAACTATAACCCGACTCTATCTTCTTCCATCCTTGACTTCAGCTCATCCTGATGTTTAAATTAAAGCGTCTTTATCCTGAGAAGGGCTGAATTAGTACTGAAATTAAATAGATGTGATTTGATGGACCATAGCCAGATCACTGTAACGCCACAGAATCTCCTGAGGGAAAGCATCAAGTTTAATTACTTTAATGCAAGTGTACACACACAATATTTAGCCTTTTTTAACAAGTATGTGTCAATTACTGGTGTCGTTGTTCTTCCTCAGTGGGTTCATCACACAAATCAGAGTTAACAACAGTCGACGTGACCCGGGGTGCTCAGTGGCAGGTGTCGCAAGAGCCGTTTCCTCCGTGGTTCAGATGTGACCTCCAGTCAAGTAAACAACACTAAATACAGGCCGAGCAGGAGCACCGCTCCTCCTCCTCCTCCTCTTTAAATGAATCACTGCGGCTCGATGTTGGAGGCTGAAAAAAGAAGGCATGGTTAGGATGAAAGGACGTGCCGCAGAACAATAAATACCACCACATCCAGTTTGACTTCTTCTGAGCGGCTTTAACGAGCCGCTGCTGCCTGACAGCCGAGGTGACACGAGTCCAAAGCTTTGAGGGAATCTGTGTAAGAATCTGGCCCTCGTTTATTAAAGGACTGTGGCCGTCACAGCGCTTTGTTGAGTTTTGACTTGTTGCCGCACCAGTCGTGCAACATGTCACGATGAATAATTTAAATACCTTCTAGACAAAAGCACTGAGGTGAGATTGTGGTGTTCAATTTTTAATTTTTAAATTAATTTTAGAAACGGCTGCATGAACCAGTTGCTAAAGTTCGGGATAACCTTTTCATTCCCATTTCTTATTCTGCAAACAGTAACTTTAATTTAGTTGTCTCCTTTTGCATCATTTTTTGCTCTTCTGCTGAGGTCTACAAGCTCAGTTCAGGTTGAAAACATACAAACTGTAAAAACATGAGTCAGATTTGTGCAGAGGCATTAAACTGGAAGCTTTTGCTTCATTTGACTCATGTTCAGGCTGCTGTTTAATACACTGTATATTATTACATTATTATTGTTTAGCGTACAGTAGTCCCTCGTTTATCGCGGGGGTCCGTACCCTGAAGTGTGAAAAACCGCAAAGTAGGAATAGTAGTACAAGTAGTATATTTTAGTATTTATATGTACAGTAGTCCCTCGCTACTTCGCGGTTCGTTTATCTCGGACTCGCTCTATCGCGGTTTTTCAAAATAAGCTTGGACATGACACACAGTTGTCTGATTGATGGATGAGCCGCACAATCGGCATGGAATTTTAATTTAAAATCAATTATTTTAAATTATTTAGCAACTGATACACATTTGTGCAGCCCTTGCTGCAGGATAAGCTTCCTGCTGCAGCTGATCAGCTGATCTGTATGCATCATAGAGAAGTGGGTGTGGTCAAGAGTGCTGGCAGGTGGCAGGGAGCTGAAATCATGACATTCTGTGCTCTTTTAGAGCGTTTAGAAACATTGTTTAGAATATTGCAAGAGTGTGGGAAGGGTCACACCTTTATATGTATGTGTGTGTATGTATATATATATATATATAGTATATATATGGGATGCATGATATTATCGGCAAGGTATCGGTATCGGCTGATATTAGCGTTAAAATTCAATATCGGACATCGGCCATTCCATTAAAATAACTCGCCGATATAAAATGTGCTGTTTTTGCCTGCAGCGGCAGCACAACGTGATGACGTCACGTGCGCCTCACGGTGGAGAGTAAAATTCAAAATGTCGGCTGTGTGGAAGTTTTCTTTTTCGTTGGTGAGGATGTTGGATTCCAAAGATTTTTGGACTACGTTGAGCTACATCGTCCCCAGTCAGAGATATTTTTCAGACGTAGCCTTACCCGAGTTACAAGCCGTCATTTCCAACGTGAGAAGCTAACAGCTGATAGCACTTGGGTGAGTTTTACCACAGACATTTGGACGTTGTGTTAGCCCGTTAGCATGATTAGTCTTACGGCACAATGGATAGACAAAAACTTTGAACTTAAAAAGTCTGTCCTTCGTGCACAGGAGTGCAGAGGATCCCACACTGCAGCTATAGGAACCTGGAACAAACCTACACAAGTGAGACAGCGTCGCAGGTGACTAATGCTAATAAATAACATTTAACACTTTTCATTTAATATAAGTTAAAGTGCAATGCAAGTCAAGTCAGATTTATTTATAGAACACATTTAAAGCAGAAACTGTTACCAAAGTGCTTAACAAAAATATCACAGCATCAAATAAAAAGTAACAAGATATATTTACAGCACATGGAATAATAATATAAAACTGAAAACGTAATTAGAAACAATGAAATACTAAATCAGGTCACCTTGTATTAAATAGGAATAATAACAAAAAGCATAAACAGAATCAGAATCAATAAAATTCTAAATCTAAATCCGATCACACTGTGTTAAATGTCAATGAGTATATCATATGGCTGTTAGTGAATATATGTCACCAGCTCTTACAGCTGTTGCACAATTTTTGTAGCAAATAAGCCTAAATGAGAGGGAAATGTTCTGACAAAGGAAAATATATAAAATATCGGTATCTGCACCGGTTATCGGCCAAACAAGTTTTAGCATATCGGATATCGGCCAAAAATCCAACGTCGTGCATCCCTAATATGTCACGATTTCAGCTCTCTGCCTCCGGCTGCACTCTCGGCCACGCCCACTTCTCTGCTCTACACGGAGATAAGCTGATCAGCTGCAGGACGAAGCTTCTCCCACAGCTGTGGGCTGCACACAGGTGCTAAATCATTTAAAATGTATTTTAAAATTAAAAAAATTATGCCGATCACGCAGCTCATCCGTCAATGAGCTAATTGCGTGTCATGTCCAGTCTTACTTTGAAAAACCGCGCGATAGAGCGAGTCCGCGAAAAATGAACTGCGAAGTAGGGAGGGACTAGTATATATCTTGGATATCTTCTATCTTAGATCCTTGTATGCTGTTTCTTTTAGTATATTTTTGCTATTTTTGTGTGTAACTGGGACCTTGAGTACATAATTTCATTCCACCTCATGTACCACCTGTGATGTGAATTACAAAGAACTTTGACCCTGAACTGTATTGACACGAAGCTCGTTTATCTTGACTGTATTGATCCAACAGTAAATGTTCTGTC